GTAGTTTGGGTCATTATGCAAATAAACAGTTTAAAAGGTTGGGGAAACCTAGAGTGAGCTCAGTCTGAGCTCAGTCACTTGGATGAGTGAAGCATTTCTCCGACAACACGTCCAGATGAACAGAATCAGCTTCCTTGGAGTTTCTTTGTGTCCCTCCAAAAAAAGGTAGAATAAATTATTTCAACAGTTTAAAATATTTAAAAATTCAGTCTGTGCATTTCTAAAGTTTTCCTCTTTTTGTCCTTTCTCAGACGCAGTCTCTCAGACATGGGAAGCGGCGGCCCTCCTGCCAAGCAAAGGGACATCGAAGGAGCCCTGCTAAGGTGAGATCTCGACTTGAAATATAATATAGTGATTGGGTAGTTTCTAGTTTTGGAGCTTGTGTAACACATTTTACCTGAAACCCTTCATTTAATATTAAGATTATTTAACAAGTGTAAGAAAATATGGTTCTTGTTTGGGGTGGGTGGTATTTCTGCACATGTGAGGCATTATTTGAATTAATTCTCAGCTTTCTGTAAGTTGTTTTTTTTTTTTCTCCCTTGTCTTGATTTCAAAGTACCATCTCTTATGAGTATTTGATCTTTGTGTGGCTGCAGGCTGGCAGGGGACCAGAGGGCCAGGAGGGACATGCGTCACGACAGCGACGCCGAGGATGACGATGACGTCAAAAAGGTAATTTTGTCAAAAATACCTGATCAGTATTTGCTTTCTCACAGTGGATTTTTTTCCTGCTTTGAAGTGATAAAAATCCTAACATTTGCTTCTTGTCCTTCCTTCAGCCGGCGTTGCAGTCGTCTGTAGTAGCTACCTCCAAAGAGAGAACGCGCCGAGATCTCATTCAGGACCAAACCATGGATGAGAGGGGAAAACAGAGGTAGCTCTTAAACTCTAGTTTTACATTCAGAGTTGGTTACTAAATATCCTGAGCCATGATTGGTTTAATTTCATCTGGCAAATGGCAAAACGTGTCTACAGCTGAGAATTAAGTGTGTGATGGTGTTGTTTGTGTTGTCTTGGTCAGGAATCGGCGCATGTTCGGCCTGCTCATGGGGACCCTGCAGAAATTCAAGCAGGAGTCAAATGTCTCTTCAGAAAAGGTGAGGAATAGATTCATCTTTTGCTTGGTTATGAGAACAGTATTTTTGAAAATATAGGTTTCTGTGTTGATGAGGTCATAAATTCCATGATTTTGTTTTCATGTTCTGCTTCATATTTCTTTTTGTCATCCTGTAGCAAAAGCGGCGTTCTGAGATTGAGCAGAAGCTCGAGGTTCAGGCTGAGGCTGAGAGAAAGAAGGTGGAGAATGAAAAGAGGGAGCTGTTTGAGGAGAGGAGAGCCAAGCAGACAGAGTTGAGACTTCTGGAGCAGAAAGTGGAATTGGCTCAATTGGTAAGACGGTGTATTTGTTTGAAAGTGGGACTAGCATGAAAGTGGCGGAGTTTTATTTTTAATGAAACTAGACTTACTGATTCGGCCAAACTAAATGTCTATTTCATTTATCACTGCTTAATTTTCACACCAAATTGTAACTTGATAAACATCTAATTTAATACTTAGTCTTTTAAAATCTTTTTTTGTAGCTAGAATGATGGGAAATGTAAAATCTTTTTTTTTTTTTTTTTCCCCCCATCCAAGCAAGAGGAGTGGACCAGCCACAATAATCGCCTGGTGAAATATATTCGCACAAAGACCAAGCCTCATATCTTCTACCTGCCTGGAAAAATGTGCTCCGCAACACAGAAACTCCTCGATGAATCCACCAAGAAACTAAATGGTGAGTGGGAATTTATTTTTGGAAGTGCACTGACAGTGTTGTGGCGGTGTTATATACTCACAGGGGATCTGTCTACTAAATAACATGAGGATTTTTTTTTTCTCAACAGCTGTGTTTGAAGAGAGGTGTGAGGCTTTTGCTGAACACCTCAGCAAGATGGAGTCGCGTCCCCGTCGACAACTAAACCGCGAACAGGACGGCAACACAGCGGCAACAGGGACGGAGCAGCCGGAGGAGGGTAAGCCAGCAGGTCAGGTAGTCAAAGTGACAGGTAATAAGGGCAATGTAGAGATGGAAGAAGAGGAGGAAGATGAGGAGGAGGAAAGAGAAAAGGAGAGGGATAGAAAGGTGACAGAGAAGGAGGAAGGGGAGAAGGAAGTGTCTAAGAAGGTAGAGGAAGAGCAGGAAGGGATGGAGTTAAGTGAGGAGAAGCGGGAAGGAGAGGATCAGAAGAAGGGAGACAAAGAGGGTAGTCCAGAGTCAGAGGAGATGGAGGTAGAGCAGGCAGTAGAGGAGGAGGACAGGGGTAAGGATGTAGGGGTGGAGATGGAACGCAAGCAGGGGCCCACAGATCTCCAGGACAGCAAGCCCTCTGAACCAGCTGTAAGCAGCCAGGAAGCCGAAAACACCAGCCATCAGCCCGAGCCCAGCCACGCTGCTGAGGAACCAGCAGCAGAGTCTCCTGTGAGCAGTGGGGCATCTAAAACCCCAGAACCCCCGTCAGCCCCTAGTGTGCCTGCACAAGTGTCCACAGTCCCTGGATCTATGGTCCAGGACTCCACAGTTGACAGGCAGGCAGTGGAGGGGAAATCGCAGGAGGAACCCCCACAAAAACTACCTGCTTCCCAGGAGGTCCCTGTTACTGCCCCAGCTAAGGAGGACAGCGGCAGAGGGAGAAAGAAGGAAAAGGAATCGAGGAAAGGCCGCAGTCGCAGTAACAGCTCTTCCTCTTCCTCCTCTGGCTCCTCCTCCAGCGGAAGTTCCTCTTCCTCCTCCGGGTCCAGCCGCTCCTCATCATCCTCTTCTTCCTCCTCATCCTCATCATCCAGCAGCCGCAGCCGAGACAGCGGCAAACGCAAGAGGAGGCCCTCAGATAGAGACAGGAAGAAGGGAGACGAGAGGCGAAGCCACAAGAGAGGAGGGAGTGGCGGAGGAGGGAGGGACTCGAGGGGATCGAAGAGGAGCGAGGAAGGAAGGGGCAGGTCGTCCCGGAGCGATAGGGAGCATAAAGATAGAGACAGGAAGGACAAGCGACGCTAATCTAATTCTTTTTCAGCTTCTGTAAAAACTGATGGAAAATAAGCTTCCAACTCTTTACTTCCAACATTAATTGTTTCCTCATAAAATAGTTTTGACATCAGGGGGTCTGCTGGTGGCCAGTTCCTCCATCTTTAACTTGGAGGAAAAAGAGTCTATCTCTAATTGAACCCCTTAAACAGTAAAGGTGTAAATTCCAAATGATTTATCCTTAGTCTCAGATTTGGTCTTTACACAGGTCTTTGTGACACAGTGAAGAAGGTTGTGAATGTTCTCTTTTTCATCTTAAGCATAATGAAGAGGCTGGGCTCTTGATGGTGGTCATTCACATACATTACTTTTGTTTCATGTTGTTGTGACAACGCTGTTTATTCCCATTTATTTCCACTGTTTTCAACAATGTCAAGCGTGATTTGCTCAAATACTGGATTGAAACTTTTTTGCTGGGGTGGGGTTAATGACTGATAATCTGCTTCAAAATAAAGTTGAAGTAGTGAAAATATGCTTGTTTGTGTGAATTCTTATTTGTTTTTATTTATTTTTAATACATCACACTCTTCAGTTTATTGAACAGTTCAGGCAAAAAAAGATCCTCAAAATACAAGTTATACTTTCCTAAGGATGTGTGAAGCGCCAACAGTGGTTAAGTTCAAATACATGTACTGAATTAGTTTTCAAGCATGTAGTTGAACCCTGAAGATGTTTGATCTAGTCATTCTTTTATTTAGACAAAGCCAAATCACAACAACAGCTGCCTATAGGCACCTTATATTGTAAGATAGATCCTACAATAATACATACAGAGAAAAACTCAACAATGATATGACCCCTATGAGCAAACACTTTGGTGACAGCGGGAAGGAAAAACTCCCTTTTAACAGGAAGAAACCTCCAGCAGAACCATGCTCAGGGAGGGGTGGGGCCATCTGCTGCGACTGGTTGAGGTGAGAGAAGGAAGATGGGATAAAAGACAGATTTGGTGTATTTTGTGGGTAACCAGCCCTAAAATGCAAAAACTCATTGGGAGTGACCAACACAAGCAGAGCAAAAAAGGCAAGCCTGAGATGGTCTGGGGGTGTGCAGAGGAGGGATAGATGTAGAAGGCTGAGCTTTGCAGCTCAGCCTTCTCTCCCGGAGGAAATCCGGGAGATCTCAAGAGAAGATTCATGGATGTAGTGAAGGAAGACCTACAAAGACATGCAGAACTGAGCACAAACTATGTCCATGTTTCATTTATTTATTTTTTAGAAACATTTTTTAAAGTATATGGGAATTTTTTTTAATTAGGAACCCAAGTGTACCTGAATGGATTTGTCATTGCAGTATATTTGGTTCCACTGTATATCCATGAGGAATTGTCATGTCTAAAGTCATTCTTAAATTGTCATTTTTAAAGAATCTATTTGACATGATCACAAGGGCTTGACGACCAGAAAAAATGTAATTAGCTTGAGAAAAGAAGGCAACAAGACTTCTTCACGGTTGTGAAGAGTTCCAGGTACTAAACACTTAGTGGGGCATTATGCCTCTGAGGGTCGTTGACACACTATTGATCACAAGTCATCTCAAGTCAAGGTGAGTCATTGTCACCTGGGATTAAATGGCCTGCATTTGTATAGCGCTTTACTCAGTCCCTGAGGACCCCAAAGCGCTTTACACTACATTCAGTCATACACACATTCACACACTATTAAGGATGAAACCAGTGTGTGAGGCCTTGCCCCACCCTATCATGAGCTATTAAGGTCACTTGAGGCAATGTGTGAGGGGGTTGAAGCACCTGGGACTGCATTGTAGGTGGCTGATAGCTGGAGTCGTTAGCCACCACACCTGTTCAGTGATGGTTGTTCACAACAGACATGGCCATAAAATGACCTGGATGACTGAGAACCTGCATACACATAATCAGCAATGATGTCTCTC